GAAGCTTTTAGAATAAGGCATGCATCTTTTTCAAAGAGGCTTAGCATCACCGAGAAGGCTCGCAGCCGTGGCTTCTGGCCCACCAAGGGTCAGTCCTCCGGCGGCAAGTTCAAAGGCAAGGGCAAGGGATCCTCGTCCTTCGGAAAGGGGAAGAGCTTTCGCAAACCACTTGCTCAAAGGATCCTTGAAAGTGAATGCCGCAGGTGCGGCAAAGTGGGACACTGGAAAGCTGAATGCCCGAAGCGGTTTGAGAACGCCTCTGAGGGCAAGACGGCCACCACAGCTTTCACGGGGAATGTCCTCACAAAGGATGGCTTCGATGACATGATCTTGATCGACGACCCTGGAGCCTCTCCGAATCAGGATGCTGCTTGTGCTGATTTGAAGTCTGTTCTTTGTTTTCACTCCACGGTACATCCCTGTGGGGAGACAGGGAGTAGGACCAAGAGTGTTTGGGGATTAGGGGATACACTTCATCAGCACGCCAAAAGGCTGAATGCCAGCCTTCGTCGCATCCTGATGCCTAGCCCAAGCCCCCTGACGCAAGAAGTCAGAGCATCTATGCCTCCAGCCAAGACCACAGGCTATTCGAGTGAGGATGCATTGTTTGTCTCATTTGGTCCATGCGGAATTGTGGACCTCGGTGCCAGCCAAACTGTGATCGGTGAAGCACAGGTTCAAGACTTGTTGCAAACCTTACCTACCAAAGTGCACCAACTCGTTAAACGAATTCCGTGCAACACAGTGTTTCGCTTTGGAAATAGCAGTACAGTGACACGCACTCATGCCTTTCTAGTTCCCCTCGATAGATGGTATGTCAAGATTTGTGTCGTTCCATCCAGCACACCCTTTTTGATTTCAAACAATGTGTTTTGCAAGCTGGGAGCCATCATCGATACACAGAAGGCCGAAGTTAGATTTTCCAAACTCGACATCACGATGCCGCTGTCCATGACGGACCGCAAGCTGTTTCTCCTCGACTTTGGAGAGCTGATCCGACGTGCCTGCCAAACTAAGGGTGCTTTCGACTCGCCGCAGCCGATCGCCCGATCGCATGTCTTGCACAGCACACACACCGAGCAGAGCATTCCGAAGATGTCACAGGTTTCAGTCTCGGAGGTCATGAGGTCTGAAGGTCAACCGGCAAGGACTTCCTCCTGTGCATCAACAGTGGTCACTCTCATGTCCGACTCGATGCCAGACATCTCAAGCCCGGAGACTCTGTTTTGCCCGCCGACCTCGACCGATCGTGTGCCTGACCATGCCGAAAGCCTTGGCAGCTCGCTTTCAGGCAGCAACCCGCCAGCAGGCGGAGACTCAGGAGGAGGAAGAGTACCGTCACCTCTCACTGACGGAACTGCACAACCACAAGATCTCGTTTGGCACTCAGAAGAAAGGGATGACCTTCAAGGAGGTATGCGACTCGGATCACCGGTATGTGGCCTGGTTTGCCAACACGTACGGGGATTCCACCAAGCACTCCCACAAGAAGTTCCTCCACTACGTGAACCTGTACACGGAACACTTGGAGACCCAGAACGAGGGGAAACCCAAGAGCTCAGCATACCCAGGGACAATGCCCAAGAGTCGTGCCCAGCCAAAATCTGTGGTGAAGGGCAAGATCACATCGCCTCGGGGCGAACAGACACCTCCGACACCTCCATCGTCGCAGATCAGCCCTCGCAGTCCCCGCAGTCACAACGAGACGTGGGAATTGGTTGGCGAAGAGACAGAGCATCAGAACCAGCGCATCAGCCAGATCGAGATGGCCATGGGCCAGGTTGTTCAGCAGCTGCAAATCCTGACCACTCAGCTGTCAGGTCGCTCGGAGCCGTGAGGATTGCTGAAAAGACCCGATCACCCCCGACTGAGTTTGAAGAACAACCGACTGATCGGGAGCAGACTTGCCAGATTCTCGACGCACTGCAGTCAATCCAGCCTGATGCCATCGACAGTGAATATGCTGAAGCGAACTTGTTTCATTTGCCCAACCAACCTAGCTGGATATCCCGAGAAATGCATCAATACTGGTCGAAGCAGTATGGTATTCACGATCCCGAACATCAAATTCATTTCTTGAATCGCTCAGGGATAGATGTGCTAGTGTATTGTTCGGCTGACAGCCAATTGACACATCAAGCCAACTGTTTGGGGTTGAACGCTAAACGTTTTGGCCTGAAAGAAGGGGACCTTTCTACCTTGGCCGGAAGAATCCGTCTCTATGACATGTTGCGGAATTTGAGGCCTTCCCAAATCTGGGTGTCACCCCGTTGTGGCCCATGGTCAAATTGGAACAGGCTAAACATTGACACGTCGAAGTCTTCCGCCCTGGCAGAACAAATCTTGGCCGATCGGAAATCAGAAAATGTCCACCTCCAACTGTGTTCAGCTTTGTGCATGTTTCAGGTTCGAAGGGGGCCTCAATACCATTTTCACCTTGAACAACCCCAAGGGTCAGAATTGGCTTATCAAAAGGAAATTGTTGTCTTCCACCATCCGTGTGTTGTGTGACATGTGTGTTGCCGGACAACTGAGGCATCTGAATAGTCAAGCTTTGCTCAGGAAGCGAACCCAGGTCCTCACTACATCCAGGTTGATGGCTCAACGACTGGAGCAAATGCAGTGTGCTGGGGATCATGTTCATGATTCCATTGCTGGCTCGTGTCGAATACCGGGAGGTGGTCGCCAATCACTCACCAAATACAGTGAGAATTACACACCGATTTGCAAGGTTGTTGACTCGTATCATCCAGTGTAGTATCAAGGTCCATGAGTCCCAGGAATGCCACCACTGTGTCATCATGTATGATACTCTAGTGGTAAATGCTGAAAGTGAGTCGGCACCTCCTGCCAAACGCAGACGCCTCAGACTTAGCGGAAAATCGCCTGCTGATCAGCTGTATGAGCCACTCGGGGAAGTGGACACACTCGAGGCTTTGCGGCCCTTGTTGACGCAGTGTGAAACCCTGGCACCTCGAGTCGGAAAACGCATTCTCTCCCATGGACCCACTTTTGATGCCATAGCTCAAGTGTTTCCCGACATGTCGATCCAAGCCATCGATGTATGTAAAGGGGTTGACAGACTGAGAACTGCACCGACCGATGCCCAACAGGGGACGCATCGCTGGACCTTCGGCAGAGATCGCAAGAGCCTCCAGTTTTTCTCGGACCGAAAGTGGGAACACTGGTCTGTCTTGTCACAACGAAAGCAAACCCGACCAGGAACTCCGGCTAGAATAGCCATCACAATCTTCGCATATCCCAAGGCCAAGGTTGAAGTGACGCCTCCGACCATTTTGCCATCCCAAACAAGAGAAGTGACGGACGGTGCTAAGGAGACCACACTCGGTCCCGAATTTTGCCAGGATCAGAAAGACCAGTTTCCAAGCCAAAGCATGGATTGTAAAGCTCAGCCGCCAGTTCATGGACCCATGTTTCGTGCACTGCCTGTTAATATTCAAAATACGCTTCATCGCGCGCATAAGAACTTAGGCCATCCAAATCATGAACAAATGGCGAGAGCGCTGCATGGCCATGGTTGGTCCCCGACAGTGCAACAGGCGGTTCGAGACATGAGCTGTGATACATGCCATGAACAATCACTCCCCAAAATAGCAAGACCCAGTCATCTGAAAGAAGCTAGGGATTTTAATGACCTAGTCCAATTCGACAACTGTGAATGGAGTACTCCTCAGGGTGAACGACATGCCTTCTACCACTTCATTGACACAGCCACGAACTTTCACATGGCTATTCCCATCACATCCAAAACAACGGAAACCTTGATTCAGTGCTGGCAATCTGCATGGATGTCCTGGGCTGGACCACCAAAAGCCATGATGTTTGATAGCGCAACCGAGGCAAACAGTGATGCCTTTGCTAAGTATTTGCAAGAGCAGAATATTCAGTGTCATGTTGTTCCCACCGAGGGTCATTGGCAACTTGGCAGAGCAGAACGGCATGGGGCCATTTTGCAACACATGTTGGACAAATTCCATGCCGACCGACCGATTCGATCATCCGGGAATTCTCTATCTAGAGTAAAGGGCTACACTCCTGAACTGCCGGTCTTAGGTAAGAACCGTCGTTTACCAGGCAGTGTCACGGACGATTCCGAAGTTGGGTCAAACATCACAGCCAGCGAAACCGAGTCTGGACACTTTCAAGAACAGTTAGCCATTCGTGAAGCCGCTCGGATCGCTTTTGTCAAAGCCGACAATTGCCAGAATCTCCGCAGAGCTTTGCATGGCAGGAGTCGTCCTAACAGGGTGACCTTTCAATGGGTCATGTACTGGAAAGAAGGTAAAGGGGCAGAAAAGGCAAATGGCATGGACCGGCCAAAGTTCTAATGATTGATGGACATAGTGTAGTGTGGATTAGCCATCTCACCAAGCTGTTTCGATGCGCCCCTGAACATATTCGAGCCTTATCCAACCAGGAACACGGTATCCTCAAAAGGGAAGACCACTGCTTTGTCCTGCCTTTCTCTGCTCTGCTTTGTTCTGCTTTTCTTTGCACCTCTGCTTCTCTTGTCTTCCCTGCTCTTCTCTTCTCTGCTCTCTCT